CAGCCCCTTGTGTAATGAAGTCCCTTGACATACACAAGATTGACTTATACATAGATATATATGGTAGATAACCAAATTACTCCCGAGCTCTGTATCAGAGATATTCATATGATTTCTGTGCACATTCATATTCTGAAAAAAATCTATCATGTCTCTCTTCCATTTTCTTTCAGACACCTCTTAATTTCTTTTTCACATTGTCAAACATCTTAGTGATGGAATTAACTTCCCCTTCTTCTCTTCTGTGTCACTACTTCGATGGAAATGGTTATTTCTTAACAAAGCTGTGCTGTTCTCATACTAGTCTGTAACTATTCCTGGTCTCCAGTTATTGTGATTTACTTCCCTCCTGACCACAGACCTTAATCAAAGGGTTTATGCCCTAGCGCCCTACTCTACGGCCTTGTGACCAAGGCCATGACACTGGAAAAATGTTGGAGCATATCATGATAGTATCCCATCACTAAAGAATTAATAAAATGAGATCTGTCATTTTAAATATGAATTTCTAAGACTTCAACAACACTTCCCATGCTACAATTTCAAATAATTGTTTTAAGAGAAGAAATGATTTTAAGGAAATCTTTTGAAATGTCCAGTTTTTGAACAAAAACTGTTATTACACTAACTGGATCCATATCATGAAATTAAGTCTTTGCATATTACAGGCAATTCCATTTAAATGTGAGAAAATGGTGATTTAAACAGCAAGAGATCTATATTTTGACATTATTTGTTTATAAAGGACAAGCTATCAAAATGTTTGTAATTACATGATTGTATTTTTCTTTGTCAACTCAGCCTTTCTAGTTCTTAAGTTGAGGTATAAAATTCATGAATGGCAGTGACAATAAAGTATATACAACTTTTTTTATTATGGTCCAAAGACCCTTATTATACTGTAGCATACAAGTATACTACTTTATTTTGTTGCTGCCATTTATTTTTATGCTCTAGTGCTCCTTAAACACACTGGAGCCCTCACCTTGGATCGGTCTAATGCCATACTTAAAGGCATTAGATCTTAAAGAGGAGATACTTACAAATGCATTAGTTCCAAGGACTCTATATGTTATTCTGGTTTTAGTAACTTTGTAGAGCTGTTTTACTTTGCTTTACTTCGATTCTTTCAGACTCTATTAATGAAATTGCATTTAATGAAATAAAATTTAAGTTGACATGTTTTTGAGTTTCTAGTATCTGCTACTAAAGGCCAGCAGCTGCCCAAATTGTATTATAAGTAGAAAGTCCCAGTGGATTCCTTCCTGAAAACTCTAACTTTTTTTTTGTTTCACATATGTTTAACTTGAAATTAGTACCTATTCATTCTGTCACACACAATCACATACAGAGACATAGAAGCCATTTTATGGTCATATCCCAAATTTCAAATCCAAATACAGGTTAAACATGCCTTACCCAGAATTCTGAAATCCCAAATTCTCCAAAATCCAAAATCATTCACATGATTGGCTAACATAGTGACACTTGTGCTTTCTGATGGTTTAGTGTACACAACATTTCTTCATGAACACAATCATTACAGATTTTGCATTAGATGTATATTATTTTTATTTCGTATCAAAAGCATTGCATAAATTAGTATAAAACTGATAAAAATAGAAGGTGTGCAGGCGGCTAAATATCTTTTGACCAAAAACGGGCAACAGCAATGGCATTGTCTGTAGCCTCCAACAATTCCTCCTCTGTACATGAGGCAGGGCACAATGGACAAACATACAGAGTTGTCTGTTATGCTCCAAAGTCACACAAAGGTATGTGATTCTTTTAGGTAGTGCCTAGGGCTGGGCGGTTTCGTTCGTTAATTTCGTAATTCATTATTGATTCGTATTTAAATTAGCTTACGATCCAATATTGAGCCATGCAGGAGCAACTAAAAATTGAAACGAATTTTTCAATTTATTTCGTAATCATTTCGAAATCGTTTCGAAATCGTTTCAAAATCGTTTTGAAATTGTTTCGTTATTATTTCCGTATGTCTGTTGCAAGTTTTAGAGTTGTTGTTTGTTTTATCAGTGATAAAAAATAAATTATCACACCAACAGTCAACAACAGAGGGAGAGGGAAGCTTCAGAAGTTCCCCCTGTCCCATTTGGAGGGTTTTTTTTGCATATTGCGCAATCGCATCCGCCATTAACGAATCAATTCGTAATTGCTTCGTAATTGTTTCGTAATTTACAAAATTTCGTATATTTCAAACTTTTTTAAAGAAAAATTTCGGAATTCTTTTAAAAAACGAAACGCAAAAACCCCCTAAAAACGAATCGAGTTTAGAAACAATTTTTTCCGTGGTTACCCAGCCCTAGTAGTGCCATTTTGCCAGGTTGTCTTTTGATCTGCCCACTCTGCTTCTGAGTCTATTTAGGGACTTCCAGGTTGCCCATTCTTGGTTTGCCCCTGGAGGAAGACCCTCGCGGGGGGTGGGGGCATCCAGTTGGGATTTACTGATTTAGCTGCCCAGAGGGATACCCTTGCTGTTATTGGAGGGATGCCAAGAGGAGGAGTAGTTTTCATAAAGCTTTTCCTTGATTTGAGTCTGCTGGGAGGCGGCTGGTAGCCATGTAGTGAATGGCTTTCACAGTGTTCAACCTGTATATAACACATAAAGGAGTTCCATGTTTAGGTATGGGCCCCTCATCAAGGTATCTCATTATGTCTGTCTGTGCAAATATAGGTATATCAAAATGGGGGGGGGGAACCCAAAATACTTCTGGTTCCAAGAATTTTGAATAAAAGTTACTCAGTCTGTATATCCATTAGCTCAAAAATACTGAGCTTGAAGATGTAGAAGATACATCTATCCCTGGTTCTAGGTTTTCTGGCTTATTTTTAATCTGATAGAATTCTATTGCTGCTGAGTGTAAGATCAGGTTTCAACTCAAAATATTACACCAGTTAACACACATTCTGCTTCCTCAAATATTAGACTTATCTTTGAGTATATTTGAACTAGCTTTCTCCTATTAGTTCTAATTTTTAAAATACATAACATTTGTCATATACCAGTCTTTATCTGGTCACCCATAGAAAGTCATGATAACCACATCTAAGAAACTAGAACTGATGCGGTCTATCAAATGACATTTTCTTAATCAGTGCCCTAAATAATCCCAAGAACAGGCCTAAAAACCAAGACACCAGGAATTTGGAGGAGGGGGAGATGGTGGGCTGTGTTATGTGTGTGTATGTGTACTTCTGAAAATGTGTACTTTCCATAAGCATGTGATTCCCCTCTATTAATTTTTAATGCAATTTGGTTTTCGTTTGGCCTGGGCTGCAGTAATTGATAGTGGGACTGATTCTGGGTTGTGAAATAACCCAGAAATCCTATGCGAAGCAGTAGCAAAGGAAACCATTGGGAAATGTGAAAAATCTTTTATGTAATTTATTTCAGCTAGGTTTTCTGGGTTCCTGTTAAAGCTTTCTTCTCATTCATACTCTGCATGATCTTAAGTGAAAAGCATATACACTGAAGGTATATAACCCCCTGGAACAATACATTAATGTCACTGCAATGTTTAATCAATATTAATACATAGGCACTTTTGTTTGAATCAGGGAGCCTGATTTGCTCTTTGGACCTCACATATTTGAAAAAAGAGGGGGGAAATGAGTGGAGATAAGATTGCTCCTAAAAGCGGTGTTTCTAATTTCAGTTACTTGTCTTTAAATTTTATAGATATTTCATAGAATTTTATTCTTGAATTTCAAAAGAAAATTCACATATGTGTTAGAGTGAAATTCACATTTGTTTTGTATGATAACATATATGTATCTCATTAGGCACCAGCTTAGAATGAGAATTAATTTGTGCATGCAGGCATCTGCCTTTTATTGAAATGTACTGCTATGTGCACATATGCATTAAAAACAAAGATTTTAAAAAGGAATTACCAATTGATTAGAAGCTTAATTTTTAATGAAAGTTTTTAAGATGATTATCAATGAACTAAAACAGCCCTCATAGTAGCTAAGTTGAATGTCATAAGGAGAGCAGATATTCCACATTAAAATATCTTTCAATAAAGGAAGCTTTTATTACTACTTGTGGTCATAACAAAAGTATAATTATTGCACAGGAACAGGACTGATTGGTAGTGTAATCAGATTCTGTGTATGAACTTGTATATTCCTTTTCTGATGTTGCTATTAATCAAAAGTCAATCCTTTTAAGTCAGTATGTTTTGTAAAAGCCTCTGAAGATTATATTAATATGAAAGCAATTGCAGAATTAATGTGCAAATAGTTGAATAATTAATACTGATTCTTCCCCATTTGTGAATCCTTAATGGCATTAGGAGTCACTCTATATAGGCTTTTGGCTTTGCTGACATTTTCCACTTCATCACATGGGCAAATTTACCTGCTGTATGACACTTTTGCCATAGTTCGAGGACAGAGCCTTCCAGATCCCATTAAATAATGTAGATTTACTTATGGCAGGGTTCCATCCCTGAAAGCATCATACAATGGAGCAACAAGAACATGGGAGGCTTTCCATGTTCTTGTTGCCAGCAATGGAGCAAGCGTGGGGGAAGCCGGGCAACTGTACTTTCCTCCATGGGGAAGGCGGTGCTGTGGGTGATGTGGGGCATGGGGTGATGGATTCCCCCACTGACCACCATATTTTCTGCTCTGTCTGATGAATCCCCCTGCTGTCATCCACATTGGGCAAATTCATGTGATAAGGTCCTTTATTATACCTAAGTTATCTGCTGAAAACTAACTGTTGAATTGTTAATTAAATACAGGTATTCATTTAAAATAAATAAAAATTAATAAAGACGTATGTAATTATATAATTTTAAATAAATCCTGAAAGTTAATTCTTAGAATATCATTATTACAGCAAATCCTATTCACTCTGGAACATAACTTCCCTACTATCATTCATGTGGATTGTGTCCAATTAATTTGATGAATATATTTATGATTTGTGAGCATAAGTTAATTTTGTTATCTTCATTGGGTTATTTTAGATGTTCCATGAACTGGTCAGGTACACAGTGTGAGCGACTAGCTCCTAAGAGCAGCAAATCCGACCATATAAGTACAAGTAAGTTTTTTTCAAGAGTAACTTCGTTTTAGCTGGTATTTCATGTGCATTGTATTATGCGATCTTCCTGAAGGCCTCTTTCAAATTCTTTTACAGCAACTCTTCTGTAAAATAAGAACAATAATAATGGGAAAGCACCAGGGGGAACTAAAGGGGAAAGGAAGGGCAAGAATAAGAGGCAAGCAGCTCACACATGAAATAGAGACACATTAGCAATGTCATTGTTGTCAGTTCATTTCTCTCTGAAGCTCAGTAACTTGAGCTCTACAAAACTGCAGAGAATCACAAAACAAATTCTACTGGTGATACTAGTGTATTTTTGGGAAGAGTGAGGGAGATTAGTATATCCACAGTCAGTACTAATGGTAGCAATCCAGTCTACTTGACAGCTTTTTAAAAAAAGTATTTTTTGCCAATGAATTGAAGGCATCTTACACAATATTCCTCCACGTCCTCTCCATTTAATTCCAACTACAAACCTATGAGCAAAAGTAGAAACATAGTGAAATTTTTGGCAGTATATGCATTAAGCCTAATTTCCTCATGTTTTAGACTAACCTAATCAATATATCACGCTGAACCCAGAGAAAGATATTCAGGTTAAATGTCCTAGGTCCCTCTTTGTGTAAAGAGAGAAAAGCTCCCCTCTCTGTTAATCTTCCATTTACAAGCAAAAAACATTTTCTTCATCAGAGACCCCTTGAAGCTGGAGTTATTTATTTGCACTGGTGAATTTTAATTTGATTTTCATCTTTATGTTTTAACTGTATTCTGGTTTTTATTTGAACGGTTCTCCTCCTTGCAGTCTTGGGCCATTTTTTTTTGCAAGTATATAACATATATCCTACATCATAGCATTGTTCCAGGCTGATACTACAGAATTTTCTAGGGCGCCAATGATTTTTTTTGGGTGATACTCACCCCCCCCCACCCCCCCACCCCCCACACACACATTCAAGAGAGGCTACTGCATAACTTAGACTGCACTCCCAGTTTAAGCTATGGAGGTAATTCCAACAGTAGAGCTATCCTATAGGGTCTTGGCCTATGTGACACACTGGTTGATAAATTGGGCATACAATATAACATATTGCTGGGATAATTCTCTAAGTTTTCTAGCTACTTATTAGTACTACAGCTACTAAACAATTCAACTTCTGTTTGTTGCAGGAAGCATTGCAATCATTGTTCCACTCGTCCTCTTGGTGACATTGATTACAACTTTGGTAATAGGCCTGCTCCTTTGTAAAAGGAAACGAAGGTGAGATTTTTCTTTGTGTGGTCTAGGAAAAAACTATGCATGGGAATAATTGAACATAGTGAAGGTACTGTGGAAAGAATGTATTTCCAAAAAGAGGAAATAATTGATTTAACTGTGGATAATACATTATTTATTATGCAATGTGAAACTGAAAGTTTAATTCAGATACAAACCCATATACATAATGTTAAACACATTCCTTAAAAAAAAGGTTTTCATGGTTTTTTTTTTAAAAAAACCAACAACATAGGACCATAAACAAGGAAGACTTTTTCCATCAGGATCACAGCTTGTGAGGTCATGGTTAAACTTTATTCTTTGTGTTTTTATTTTATGTGCTGTGTATGATATTACATGAAAACTGCAATTCTGATATGTTCCCAAAATTAAACAACGAGCAGAAGTAATACAAATGTATTAAGTGGTTTCTTCTATTTTACTTCTTCACATACTGAGCAGCCATTTATTTACTATTTTTCTCTGACATATTGTAGGACAAAAACAATCCGACGGCAACCAATAATAAATGGAGCAATCAATGTAGAAATTGGAAACCCATCATATAATATGTATGAGGTGGGGCATAATCACAGTGAAAGAGGTCTTTCAGATTTTACAATAAATCCAGAAAAGGTAAAGCTGACTGTTTAATTTACTTTTTCATTCAAACAGTTATGTATTATTTAATAATTTCATCCCTTGGTAAAAGAATGCCTTCCGTGCTACAAAAAAGCTTTAATGCAGTGGAAACTTGCATTGTTCTTGTGCTTATCTAGGATGGGTCCTTTTTACGTGTGTGAACTATGCTATAAAAACTGAGACTGGGTATACTTCATCTATTCCTCTCTCTCTATATATATGTGTGTGTGTGTGTGTGTTTCTAATGTATATTCTATTCAATGGGAAAAAAACCTTGGCGATTTTACTAATGTTTTAGTATGCTTCTGTATGAACACAGGTGTTAGTAATCTGCTTTAATATGCTCTTACACCTAACACATTTTTTTCAAAAAAATTGTGATGTAGGCTTTCACATCTCAAGTTTTGTGAGGCCAGCTCCCTTTTTATTTAACTTAATAAACATTGTACAATCACAAACAGTGTGTTCTCAATCTATAATTGTGATAGAGAAGCAATGGTGACAGCCACATACTATTATATAAAAATTATAAGAGTTGCATTGAACCTTTTAGGAATGATGGAATAAAATGTTTTTAATAGTAATCACTATGTTAACAGCCCATCTGGTCTAACATTCTGTTTATGGAAGTATACTGTTGGGTGCCCCTAGGAAATTCACAAGCAAAGGAGGAAGCTGGCAGTGTTCACTGTCATTTGTCTCCAGAATCTAATACTCAGAAGCATACCATCCATAAACAGGTGCTATTTAGTTAAAATGGAAAATAATCACAGTTAGAGCAAGGCACCATGAATGTGTCCAAACATTAGTAAATATCTGAGCTAATAGCTATCTTCACATCATGTGGTATTTGACATCTTAAGCATTCATTCAATAATGCCTTGTTTAAGATAGCCATCTCTACTGCAAATCTTCTGTTCTAGGATTATAAAAAGGGGGCAAAAGGGGCAAAACACTGCCTTTCCTGTATAGCATTCATGATTTTGCCAATCCCCATCATATTATTTTTTTTTCGCACACGACTGAGAAGTTCACAATGTCTTTACATTAAGGAATTAATGCAATTTTACACCACTTTAAATGTCATGGCTCAATGCTGGTATGGAAAGTGAAAATGCCCTGATCATCTTAGCCCCCCCCCCCCACACACACACACCCTATTTATAAAATCCTCTCAAAATGGTGTGATGACTGCCTCACAGGGAACAGATGCATACTTTCCAGGTGGCACCCCAGGAAAGGAACAAATGTATCTATACTTCTTTTTCTAAAACTGTGTTACATGTTTTGGAGTAAAAAAAGAGTCTCTTTGTTCCCTTCCTACACAAATGAGATTGGGTGAGAAGAAAATTGTGCCTTTTCTTTGTTTAAACACCTCCACCCACTCCAATTTCTCTTTCTTTGTTTAAGTAGGGAAACAAGAAACCAGCTGGCATGGGGGAAATAGATGACAATACAGGGGAAGGTGAGAGCATGTGATCTTGAGCACCCTTAAATCTGGCAACTCAGTTCTAAAGAGGAAGTCATTCTCATTGACCCAAAGAGCAATCCTCTTTTAAAAACCCCTTTAGAAGAATGCTTCCTACAAAGATAGAGATGTAAAACTTCATTGATTTCATTCTTACCCATTTGAATGAAAAATTACAAAATCTTTTCCTTGGTGGTGGACTGCCATAGTTTCTATATATTTTGCAGTTGGATTTTTCCATTTTGTCACTTTTTGTTTTAGGAGAAAGATGCCAAACTGTTCTGTGGAAAAAATGTATTTCCTGAAATGTATTTCCTGAAATGTGAAAAGCCATCAAAAATAGACCACTTTGATAATGAGATTGAGGATACATCTAAACTGTTAATTTAATGCCACTTGACACTACCACAAACTTTCATAGGCTCAATGCTAGGGAAGCAAGGGAGTTGTATTTTACAAGGTTTTTATTCTTCTTTGCCAAAGAGTGCTGGTGCCTCACCAAACTACAGATCACAGGGTTCCATAGAATTGAGCCATGGTGTGAAATTGCATTATTTTCTCAATGTAAAGGCAGTCTGGGGCTTTCATTATGGAAAAGATAAAATGAATTTTTTTCATGCCAACACAGAGGACAAATCAAGTATTTCTTACCTCAAATGCTTGGGACCCAAAAGTGTTTAGCCCAATGATACTCAACCTGTGGGTCCCTAGGTGTTTTGGGCTACAACTCCCAGAAATCCCAACCAGTTTACCAGCTTTTAGAATATCTGGGAATTGAAGGCCAAAACATCTGGGGACCCACAGGTTGAGAACCACTGGTTTAGGCTTTGGGACTTTTTAAATTTTGGAGTAATTGCATATGTATAATGAAATATCATCTTGAAGATGAGACACAAATCTAAATGCGAAATGGTTTGTGTTTCAAGAACACTATACACAAGGCATGGAGATAATTGGATACATGTTTTTAATAATTTTCTACATTAAATGAAGTTTGGATACATTGAACTATTAGAAAGCAAAGCTGTCCCTATCTCAGCCACTCATGTGGACAATTTTGGATTTTGGAAAATTTCAGATTTTGGATTTTCATCTAAGGGGTTATCAACCTGTACATAATAGTTTCCTGATAAAGTAGTAGCTGAATTATGCATAGTTTTATAGCTGATTCCACAGACTCAGTTAATTAATCATAAGCATACTTTACAGGGTATGCTGTGCCTAGTTCTTAGCCATCTAATAAAATATAGGTTAACTTGCAATATGATCTTCAGTGGAAATACTTCTTGTTATTATGTTATTTAGCATCCAAGAAAACTTTGAACAGGAACTTGTATTTTATTTTTAAATGTTTATATAGAACATAAGAAAGTTGTGGTAATGTGTTTGCTTTCACTAACTGCTTGTTTAATAGCACTATAGAGTTTGAAACAAAGATGCACTATTTTAAAATCAGAAACTTAAATGCAAAAACTGCTCTATTTAAATGCAGGCCAGATATATAGGGGGAGGGCCCACAGTCTTCAAGCTTTCCCATACAGCACCGCCAATCTACCTAAACTCTGATCTGAAAGGACCTCTAACTGCAGGGGTGAGAAAGAGCAATCCATTTTCCATGTTCATTATGTCATAGTACCCTACTGGAAATTAACACACAAAGAACATTAACACATCTCCTTTTTTTAAAATAGCCACTGTAATGTAATATAAAATAATACAGCTGAGCACATGAAATCAATATGCACTCTTTGTTATATAAACAGCAGACAGGGGCAAGGACAGAGCAACTGCCAGTTCAGAGAGAGATTTGGTTAGGGAATAAACATGAAAGATAAAAGAAGGGTGGTGTCTCCAATAGGAGATTTTGTAAAAATGAAATAGGAGTTTGGGAGAAGGTATGTTTGTTTCCCAAATGGATTCCGGAAAAGGAGTTATTATTCCACTCGTTCCACTGCCCAGAGACCCATCAGCTCCCTGAATGCTGCCATTTGCATAACAAAAATGCATATTATTCATACAATTAATTGCACGCCTAGTCTGGCCCTGTGAAAATAGAGCAAGCATAAGGAAAAGCCTGCTAATCAGTTGCCGTGTTTAATGTACAGCATTTGTTGAATGCAGTACAGGATTGGTTGTTGCCTCCCAAGAGCAAAAGATGCAGAAAACATGTTCTCTTTAATTGCATCTGGTGCTTGACCCGACCTCATTTTTGGAGAAATAGAAGTAGGAAGAGTTACGGCTTAGCCACATTATGAACAAAATAAATCAAAGTAGCACAAAGGAAAAAGAGGGATCATTCCATAGACTGGGGGCTAAAAGAAAAGGAGACCTCAAATGCAAAGATGTATCTAGGAGTACTCTCAAGACTCTTTGCCTTAAATCCCAGTGTCCCCAGAGGCTTCATAAAGCTGAAAGCACTGGAGACAAGATACATACTCTTGGAACTCGACAGTTCATGTTCTAAGGAGCTGAAAAACAGCTCTCCAGAATTACTCTTTGAAAGTGACACTATGAAAATAATTAGTTACGCACGGATCTTTGAGCCCACAGAGCCAAGACATTCAATAGTATACTGTGGATTGGGAATCTTACACCAATGTTGTTGAATTGCAACAACAAGCACCCAGCAGCATTAGCCCTGCTTTCTAGAACTGCTGGCATGATTTCCACTCCAAATTATAAAGCATCAAGCAGATACCAAGCTGGGTCACACTTCCTTGTCCTCTTGATAAATGCAATTTATCTAGGCTGGAACCCAAACTGAACTGGGTTGGCAATATCCAGCACCTAAAGCTGCTAATGTTCAGCTTTAATCTTCAAACCTCCCAGAATCAACCCCCCTTTTCTAGAAAAAATGTGACTTTCCTCTCTTACATACCTCCTGGAGCAGTGATTTGCCTTTCAGATAGATCACATTGACCTCCTTTAGAATTTGACATCAAAATATGGAGGTCTATCAAGCCAGAAGTTGGTTTCCATGAAAGTCTATCAAAACCAGAACTGGATTTCCAACCATATCTGAGATTTTTTTCTAATTATGGTGCTAATTATGGTGTTAGTCCAGGAGTCTGTTTTGTCCATGGAGATTCTTGGGAAGAAACTGGCCCCAAGGACACTTACTGCCAAGCAAATAAGTTGTGCAACTTATTATTCCCTCTGTAGTTTTGAAGTCTCCTTCATTCCATCATTTATGGTGCAAAGGTATATAACTACAAAAACAAACAAACTACAACTTTATTCAAGCATACATCCTCGGTGCAGCATGCAGTGATATAGTTTAAGAGTAACAAGATGCTTCTTCAGCTACTTGGAACAAATTGCATTTGCCCTTTGCAATTGCTAAATAGAAAGGTTAATAACTGCATAAATAATCAAAGACCTTTTAAGATTCATGAAGAAAGTAGAAAGCTTATATTAATGAATGAATAAATATACTAATTTATAACAAGCAATTTTTGGCAAGTAGATTATTCCAAGATTACATTGATATTAAGAAAATATTCCAAACAAATGAACAGTTTCCAAATTATATTTCTGGCATAATACAGTGCTACAGACCAATGTTATTGGAGGATTATAACAGTATTACACAATATTTAAGATTCTAATAGCCTATACAAAATTGTAAATTCCAGAACCCTATTAGATTCATTCAAAATTTGATGGTGCTCAGTCAGTAAAAAAATAGAACCAATAAGTCAATGCAATACATATAATTCAGATAAAATTACGTGTACTGAAATCAGATTCAAATTATAGGTATAAAGTAGTGCAATATAACACAACTGTTCAAAATTAAACTCACTATTCCAAAAAAAAAAATGTATTGATAATCTCTAATTTAATTATCACTGCCTTTATTATTAATCATCATCTTCATACTCAAGGATGCATGTATTTATACATTTTGTGTGCATTCATTTGTAATGTGGTGTCTGTGTTTTTGCATGCATTGAAACCAACATGTTGTACCTACAACAAAGGACAGCTGGAAATATGTACCGGGAGTTTTCTCAAATTACAGGGCGAGAGTTTGGAATTAAACAAAGTACAGTTTTCCAAAATGCTCTTGCACTGCAATTCCCAGCTGCACTAAAAGATAATTGTCACTAGTAAGAAATGCTGTGAGTTGTAGTCTAGGCACATTTGAAGGGTGGAATTTTGCCCATCTCTCACTTTAATCAATGTTAGGGCCCTTCCATACAGCCATATAATCCAGAATATCAAGGCAGATAGTGATAGTATCTATATCATAACAAAACATTTTGAAATATTCCAAATTATGGCTTTCAAAACTGGAAAATCTGATATCCAGATGTCATCTTTCAACAGAGAAAACTAAACAAAATGTTTGAAATGAAGCAAAACAGTCTTGCAACACTTAAGCACAGAGTGGAGAAGTGTTGGAAAGATCCATTGCACAAGGTGTCTTCCAACACTTAATTATATAAGTGGAACTGTAGCTTTTAACAAAATATTCAATCTTTATGGCTCACACATTAAGAAATTTTCTATCAGAATTGGAAAGTTCTATGCAAGCATTGAGCTTCACTTGCAGAATACCTTCATGTAGACATGGTACATGTAAGAGACTGAATGAATTGGTTTTTAAGATGATGCACTGAACATACATAAAGATATACACTCTCTAGAGATATTGTAGTGGTTTAGAGAAGTCTAACTCAGAAATAAAATTCCAGGTTTCTTAAAAACCTGCTTCAAAGCAAAAGATGTTTTTCAAGATCCTCTCCCCAAAGCTGAAATCTTCTCTGGCTCAAATTAATATCTAGGCTGAAAGATACTACCCCCTCCCATTTATACCAACCTCTGAATAAAGAGAGTGAGAAAACTGGGAGGATAAAACATGCTCTGTCTCCCTTACTATTGCATTGATACACTACAAAACACACAAGGCACAAGGGAGTAAGACACAAGGTAGTAAGACACAAGGTAGTGTTCATATCTGTTAGAAATAGGGACTTGATCAGATAGGTGAGAGGGAAGCGAGGGAAAGTGTTGGAAAGAGTGGGGACCTGTCTTACCCTGTTTTTTCCCAGCAAGTTCCTGCTTCAGGGCTGGCCAGCCATCCCACATCCTTTCTCTGTCTTCTTCTCACTTTCCCCCACTTTTCCTGTTGCCCTGCTCCTGAAAATGGAGTCTTATTTCTGTTTCAGCACGTTGGTAAGATGTATTCTCATGGGCAGCCACTAGAAGTGGCCGTGCATCATGGGATGGCCTCCGTGGGACTCCATTTTGCCAGCATGCCAAAATGGAGAAAAAATGGAGAACTTCCATTTGATGAAGTCATGGTTTGTTTTGTAATATGAAGATATAAATAATTTGGAATAATTGTTGAGGAATTATTTTTCTTCTTAGGATCCATGTCATCAATTTAATTAAATGCATGTGCCATTATAGATTTAACACCTCCTTCTGATGTCTGAGCCAAGGCAGTTAATCATTATGTCCTTTGCTGATATATGCGTGTTGCGTGCTCTATAAAAACAGTAATTTCTCATTTATTTGTAATTCAGTCAACTGACATATGATGTATTTATTTTTTTCCAGACAACAAACTACTCCAATCCAGTGTATGCAAAGTTATACATGGATGGGCAAAACTGTCGAAACTCCTTAGCAAGTGTCGATGAAAGGAAAGAACTCCTTCCAAAGAAAATAGATATTGGCATAAGGGAGACTGTGGCATAATCCATTGTAATCTTTTGTATACTGTATAAATGTATAAAATATAAGGATTACTTTTCTATGTACCAACAGTATTATAATTGTTTTGGCATCAGCATTACCTCTGGATTTTTTTCTGTTTTGTTGGTGGTTTTCTGGGTTTTTCTTTTGCTGATGACTTGACTGACCATTTGTATGGTATTTTTATGATAAAAAATCTGCACTACAGTACAATTTACAACAATGCTGCTGATATAACACACACTGAATTTGTTAAAAATTAAAAAAAATCCTTTGTAGTGTGAATATGAGCAATCTATTTTATATGAACTTTTTCTTTAATTTTACTTAATCAATGAAGATGATATCTGCACTTTTCCATTATATGGTCTGACGGCTGTAGTACAGTGTGTGAAATTTGTTTCTGTTTGAAATGGTGGAAGTATGATTGGATGGTCTACTCTCTTTGTGCCCATTAGAAATTCACTTCTGAACCTTAAAAGTTAGGAGAACCAAATTTTGCAAATCAAACATAACTCACTTTTACAATTAACTTTATGTTGTTGCCAAGAAGCTATGAGTACTATAGAAAACATCTAATGGTCTGCATGAACTCAGATTATTCAATTCTGAAGATCCAGTGGTTGTCCAAGCTATACTGAACATATAAACCATGTACAAAATCCTCTGTATTTAGTAAAACCTTATAGAACTTAGCGATATACAACTTACAAGTGGAAAGACCTTAATTAAATTGTGATAAGGTCTATTCTGCAGTCCTATAGATAGTAGCCTACCTGGAGCACAAGAGGGCTTTGCCTATACACATATTATGTATTTATTTACTCAGCCACATGCAGTATTTGATTATATGATGTATTATTTGATTATATGATTATTTCCCCTTAAGGAGAGCAAAAAGCCATAAGCACACACATTGACAACAATATTCCTAAAAGGAGGGGGTAAAACCCCATTCTTTCATAGAAATATTAATTCAACCACATCTTATCATTCTGTATCTATGGAAAGATTATTTTTAAAAACAGTATGGTCAATTAATTTTAAAACTTATTTGACAAACCTCAGAATCCACATTCTCAACAGCGGAGAGTGTTCAGCGTAACGAGTTTCCAGCACTTTCTCTGATATTAGCTTATTTTATGTTGTTATCAAGAATAAAAAAGGAAAAACAATACAATTTGCCTTTTTTAATTGTGACAGAAATATGTAGTGCAATTTCTCTAGCCTGTTTGGAGAGGGAAAAAATCCAACCCTTGAACACTTTTATATAGAACTCTAAAGGCACAAAAGACTTCACACACCTGTACACAAAGAATTGGAGGACTTTTCATTCCTCTGGTATACATTACTGGTTTTTAGCTGTCATGAGATATTAATCTAACAGATTAAATACGTTTGTGGTGGCTCTATTCCCTTTGTACAAACATTGCAAAAATAACTGCTGTTTTATAAAAGTTTTTTGTTGTACTCTGTGCATGCATACTACCTATTTCTAAAATTTGCCATGCTGAGGCCTTTATTAAAAAGAACTTGATTCATGTAATAGCAGTGCAGTTTTGCTTGAACAATACTTTGTGTATCACAAAACGTTTTAGGTTCTGCTTAAGTTTTTTTTTTCCTTTCAAAACATTGAATCCCATCTTTCATTTGGGCAAAAGCAGGTATCTTGCCTTTGTTTCTAAAAATGTTACCTTATTCAGATGAAACTCCTAATGCATTTCAGGCTGTTGAGCACTTGCTCAACAGTACAAAACATATTAATTGAGCAATATCAACTCTCAAAAAATTAAATGATAAAATAGTAATCTCTTAAATGCTTAAAAGGAAGAAATCCTCACTAAATTTTGCTGGGACTAACTTTTGCGAAGACATACCTAGGTGAAAGATATATAAAGATGCTTGAAGGTTCAGTGGGAGGAAAATAAATGGCAAACATTCATTTTTGCCATCTTCTTTTGCATCTGAAACAGGCTGTAAAATTCTTCTATTAGAGCAGAGTTTCTCAACCTGTGGGTCCCCAGGTGTTTTGGCCTACAACTCCCAGAAATCCCAGCCAATTTACCAGCTGTTAGGATTTCTGGAAGTTGAAGGCCGAAACATCTGGGGACCCACAGGTTGAGAACCACTGCATTAGAGTTTTTGGATTAGCTGGCAGGTTATTTAGCGTCTCCTGTCGAAATGAGAAGAGCAGACAAAGCATGACATACTGAACATATGAATCCCCCCTTTTTTAAAAAGGGAGGGCTGAAAAGCGAATAATTGGCCACTTGGCAAAGAGCAGAGTGCTTGAGGTAGCATAATCCTCATCCTTCTGAATAAATTTATCAATGTTTGCCAGATTGATTCAATAGCAAGAGTTGTATTCATATTGCCTTCATTTTTTCCCCTGAAGTTCTTCTGAACACAAAAATCCTCTGTGCACAAGATTCTCTCTCTACTCAGCTAGGGATATCTCATTGGCTATTATTATATGAATATTTGATAACTGCTTACAGTCATGACATTCCCAATTTGCTTCTCAGTTTTCTCTTCCTGTTATTGCCTTCTTACCAACTTGCTTTCCCTTTTTCCGAAAGCAAATTAGACACTCTATTTTTGTTTTCCTTAATTTAACAACATAGCCAGTTGAGAGGAATTCCACTTTTTAACTACACTGGCAGTCATTAGATTTCTTTATATTCTTACTAATCTGTATGTTAACAGTTAATAATTAATGTTGGTTCAGCAAACACTTCCTATAAATGAATTATAAGAATTAATTATCCTTTGAGTGAGGGCCCTTCCACACAGCCATATAACCCAGAACATCAAGGCAGAAAATCCCACAATATCTGCTTTAAACTGGGTTATCTTAGTCCACACTGCCATATATCCCAGTTCAATGCAGATAATGTGGGATTTTATTCAGCTGTGTGGAAGAGCCCTCAGAAGAAGAAATGGCAGTCCCACCATTATTCTTAATCACTTTTAATTATAAGAATATTTAAATTACCCAGAAAGCTTGGAAATTTGTCTGATATGCATTATACCACATTCTTATCCACGTTTTACTGAAAATGAACAATGTTAAGTAAACGGCAATAAAAGCAGTATCTCCTATGCAGATGGAACTACTATCCAACTAACCTTGTGTTGATGTTGTGAACATGCAAACACATCACAACAACAAACAAGTAGATTACAGAGAAGGAGTCTCTAATACACACATTATTTCTCTCTCACACACATACATTTGATATCAGAAGTAATAGCACAACTGATGAAGGTTAACAGACTGCTTGGTTCGTTCTTTTTTTTCTAATTAAGAGATCCACTTCACTGCTACTTGAGTTTCGGTTCATTCAGATTGTCAACTTGTGCCCCATGCCTTCATGTTGCCTATCCAAATATCATCCTCAGATTCTATTTAAAACTCAGTAAAAAAAACTTGGTTCATTTTTCGTTGCTATGATTATGATATAGGTTATGATGTTAGATGTAACATCCCTCCTCAGATTTCCTCCAATTTACACTGGAGACAATCCCTGATTCTTGAACAGAATCAAAAGAGCTTCTTCATAAGGTTTGAATTTTGTTTTTTGGGATGCAGATACTTTTGGATGTTCTACTCCCCTGTTAATTCTTTCCTGCTAAAAGCAACACTAGCTATTATGTCACAATTTCTCAAATTTAGTAACCTGACTCTAAGGACTGCATCACAAAAGAACATGAGTCCACTTTAAATCCAGTTTCTGCCTTCTGCAGAATTATGGGGCGTGTAGTTTAGAAATGGGCCTTTAAACTGCTCAGCCAGACAGGACCCTGGCCTCACTAAACTATAAATCTTGGAATTCTGCAGGAGGCAGAAACTGGATGTAAAGTGGATCCATGCTCTAGTGTGACGAGGCTGTATAATGTGAATTTGTAATGAGTTGGAGGTAGATGGTACAGAAAGAAACAAAAATGGTACAACCTTCACCCACCCCTGCCAGCCAGCCATCCCAATTTTAACCTGCAGAACACATTTTAAAAAGCAAACTTGGACTTTTTTTCCCAAATGCTTGGATTAAAACATTATATTGAATTAAAAGTATATTATAACCATCAGGGAATGAAAAGGGATAACTGCAATGGGGTTTGAACATTGTGTCCGGGCAAGGATTGGGTTGGATGTGTAATCTGGTGTACAAGACCTCACAAAAGTGTTCACAGGAACATAACCATTTGGCTTTCCTACCATTTATTGTCTTGCAACCTAGAATTGAAATAGATTAGTCTTACACTATACATGATATATACTGGATATTTGACACAAACTGCAAAACAATTGAACTCTGGAACAAAAAATAACTGCCCTTTGGTGCTTGCATAATAGTCAACATTTTTGCTATGATGTTCTTCTGGTGCAACTCTATGCCTCCAGAAGTAATCTAAAACTGGTATAGACTCATGTCAGTATGGATGGTGCAAATGCAAACTTGCTTAACCCACAAGAAAGCTGAGATTGGCAGAATAGTTCACCTTCCAGGAAGATGATTGCACCAAATCTGCAATCAATACCCAATCAAAGTCCAGATCTCCATCCAATGTCAGCAAAGGTGCCTGGCCAAATCTAAAGCTCTCTGGAGTTCTATGACTGCTGCCATTGTGACAAACAACCACAAAGGAAAGGGTGATTATACCACAAGGAGAAACCAGTTTTAGCCCAACTTGCATCTGAAACAGGCTGTATCTGAAACGCCATGACAACCATGGGCCTGTCCCAATTAGTATCTGGTCCCACCCATACTGCCGGACACACACTGGATTTGGTCTTTACTCAGGGATGGGGTGATAGTGTCGGGGCGGAGGAGCTGACCATCGCTCCATTGTCATGGACCGATCACTACCTGGTTAGGTTTAGACTTACTGTACCTCCTAACCTCCGCAGGGGTGGTGGACCCATTAGAATGGTCCGCCCCAGGAGGCTTATGGATCCAAATGGTTTCCTGGTGGCTCTTGGGGAGTTTCCCACCTCCTTGACTGGCGACTCTGTCGATGCCTTGATCTCTCACTGGAACACCGAGATGACTAGGGCAATTGACACAATCGCTCCGGAACGCCCCCTTTCGAGTAACCGAGCTAACCCGGCCTCTTGGTTTACTGATTAGCTGGCAGCAATGAAGCGAAAGAAAAGGTGGCTAGAGCGCGTGTGGCGCAGGAGTCCGACCAAATCAGCCCAAACACATCTGAATGCCTTTCTAAGGTCCTACAATGTGGCAATAGCGGCAGCACAAAAAACATCTTTTGCTGCCAATATTGCATCTGCGAAGAATCGTCCAGCTGAGCTCTTCCGAGTTGTCAGGGGTCTGTTAAACCCGCCGAAAAGCGAGATCCCTGACAGCTCTGGAGCTCGCTGTGAAGCGTTTGCTCGATTTTTCGCAGATAAAATTGTGCGGATTCGGTCGGTTTTTGACACCACTTTACCTGCAGTCTCTGGGGATGTAACGAGAGCATCTGCTTGTCCAGGTTTGTTGGATTCGTTTCAATTGGTTCAGCTTGAGGATGTGGACAGGATCCTTGGAGAGGTGCGACCCACTACATGCATCCTAGACCCCTGCCCATCCTGGCTGGTCAAAGGAAGCCAGAGGGGGTTTGGCAGAGTGGGTGAAGGTGATGGTTAATGCCTCCTTACAGGAAGGAAAATTTCCAGCGAGCTTAAAACAAGCTATTATAAAACCGCTGTTGAAAAAACCATCACTGGACCCCACTCAATTCGTCAACTATCGGCTAGTATCCAATCTCCCCTACTTGGGCAAAGTCCTGGAACGTGTGGTGGCAACACAACTCCAGGGGTTTCTGGTAGACACTGATTATCTGGATCCGGCACAGTCTGGCTTTAGGCCGGGACATGGAACTGAGACAGCCTTGGTCGCCTTGGTAGATGATCTTCGCAGGGAACTGGACAGGGGGAGTGTGTCCCTGTTAGTTCTGCTGGACCTCTCAGCGGCCTTCGATACCGTCGATCATGGTATCCTTCTGGGACGCCTCATAGACATGGGTCTCGGGGGTACTGCTTTGCAGTGGCTCCAGTCATTTCTTGAGGGACGGTCCCAGAAGGTGTTACTGGGTGACACCTGTTCGGCCCCACAACCGTTGTCGTGTGGAGTCCCACAGGGTTCGATTCTGTCCCCAATGTTATTTAACATCTACATGAAGCTGCTGGGGGAGATCATTCGGAGTTTCGGACTAAGATGTTATCTCTACGCAGATGATGTCCAGATCTGTCACTCCTTTCCACCTGTCACCAAGGAGGCTGTCCAGACCCTAAACCGGTGCTTGGCTGCTGTGTCGGACTGGATGAGAGCTAACAAATTGAAATTGAATCCAGACAAGACAGAGGTCCTACTGGTCAGTCGTAAGGCCGAACAGGGTATAGGGTTACAGCCTGTGCTGGACGGGGTTACACTCCCCCTGAAGACGCAGGTTCGCAGCTTGGGAGTGATCCTGGACTCATCGCTGAGCCTGGAACCCCAGGTCTCAGCTGTGGCCGGGAGAGCTTTTGCGCAATTAAAACTTGTGCAC